TACCCCACTACAGACTAGACAAGCATTATATTCTGACACACCCCCATAGTCAAAGTGGGGTATAATCAGCACAGCAAGCAGGCATAGAGCAGGTTCACAAGGACAAGCAAAGCTAGAGGCATTCACAAAGGGCAAGTGAGGAGGAGGAGGCGGGACTGTAAGAGGAGAGGAGATAGGAGGCAACGGCTGAAGCTGCAGACACACGGGCAACAGGAGCCGCACTGGCACAGCGGCTACCGGAGCAGCGCCCCGGACTACTGGAGTAACTGGCTCCGCGGCTAAGACGAGCGGCAGGAGCAACGGACCCACGGGCGACTGGCGCAGCTGGCTACTACTGGGCTACCGGAGCAGCGCCTCGGACTACTGGTGCTGCTGACGACACGACGACAGCCTCCGTTCAACCTCCCCCAACTGTCCCACCCCCCTTTCACACACCCCTTGCTGCACCCCTAGCTCCACTCCCACGTCACCCCCCTAGCACCACTCCTTCGGCTCCCACACACCCACCCCCCTCAGCGGCAGCTGCAGCAGTGGGAGACGGAGGAGGAGGAGGAGCAGGGGACGTTTCACACACCCGTCACCCCCATACCCGCCACCCCCACACTCGCCACCCCCAAACCCTAACACGGGCAGTACGGGGCAGGAGCGTGGGCAGCAGCGCGGGGGACGGCGCGCGGCCGCCAGGGCGCCACGACGGGGCAGCGGGGGCCACGCGCGGCTCCCCAGGGCGCCGTGACGGGATTGCGGGGGCCGCGCGCGGCTCCCCAGGGCGCCACGACGGGGCAGCGGGGGGCCGCGAGCGGCTCCCCAGGGCGTCGCGACGGGGCAGCGAGGGCCGCGCGCGGGTTGCGGGGCGACGCGACGGGCTCCAGGGGGGGCGACTCGACCGTCGACGGGGGGGGGACGCGCGGGTCCCCGGGGTGACGCGTGAAGAAGGAAGCCGCCACGCGCCTCGGGGCGCACGGCGGGCAGAAAACCGCCATGCGCCCCGAGCGCGTGGCGGGAAGAAAAAAGCGTCGCGCGCCACGGGGCGCGCGACAGACAGGAAAGCAGCGGAAGCACGTGGGGCCCACAGGCCAAGAGCGTAACAGCTCTGATACCATGTTACAATAGTAGCTAGAACAAGGAGCCATAGCTAGGGTTTACCTAGCTAGGCAAGAGAGAATAGGCAAAAGAGAGGGTTTGACTAGAAAGGAGGGAGGTACAAATAGCAAGCCCTAAAGGGTTATACTCACTATTGAGTACCCCACTACCGACTAGACAAGCATTATAGTCTGACTGACAATGCACGATCGCGAGCATTTCGCGGTCGTGTATCGGGTAATTTTTCTCGGGCGGATGCAGTTTTTGTGACTCGTATGCGATGGGCTGTAAACCGTTGCCGAAATCCTGTAGCAGTACGGCTCCAATGGCGATGTCGCTTGCGTCTGTAACTACTTCGAATGGGCGGTGTGGGTCGGCAATGCGTTGTACGGGCGGTGAACTGAGAACATTTTTCAGGGCAGAGAAGGCAGCATGCTCTTTCTCCCCCCACGTAAAAGTGACCCCCTTCCACAGTAAATCCGTCAGTGGGGCAGTTAACCGTGCCATGTCGGGGACGAACCGACGCACATAATTAACGAACCCTAAAAAGCTCTGCAGCTCCGTGATGTTCGTCGGGGGGTGCCACGATTTTACCGTGTCCAGCTTCTTTGGGTCGATTTCAACTCCAGCCTCCGAACCCCAAAAACTCTAACCTATCCTGGAAGAACTCGCACTTGGAACCCTTAGTCAGTAATCTGTGCTCGTCTAAAATTTTAAATACTGCTTCCAGATCTGCTAAGTGCTGCTGCTTATCGCGACTGTAAACTAGGATGTCGTCGAGGTAAACTATCACGCATTTATCTAAGAGCGGCCTAAACGCCTCGTTCATGGTCATCTGAAAAGTCGCCGGTGCGTTGGTCAGCCCGAATGGCATCACGGTGTACTCGAAGGACCCATACCTAGTCCTAAATGCTGTTTTTACGCAGTCCGATGGTTCGACCCGAATCTGGTGGTAACCTCCGCGTAAGTCAATTTTCGAAAAGACCCGTGCTGTTCGCAGTTGATCTATCAGTTCGTCGGCGCGGGGAATGGGATATCGCGACTTGACTGTTACCCTGTTCAGTGCTCTGTAGTCGATACACATGCGAAAACCCCCGTCTTTTTTCGGTGTGAACAGTATCGGTGCGGCGAACGGTGACGAGCTCGGTCGGATGAATTTTTTCTCTAACAGGTAATCTAACTGCTTCCTCAGTTCATCGAGCTCTGGCTGTGTCAGTCGGAATTGTCGCTGTACCGTTGGCTGTGCCCCCGGTTCTAACTCTATTCGGTGGTCATGTGCCCGCTGAGGTGGCAGTCCCTCTGGTAAATCGTCCGGAAAAATCCCCGGGTACCGTTTCAACAGTTCCTGCAGTTCGGGCGGTACTGCTGCCAACAGTTTCTGAAAATCGCTCGGCTTCTCTGCTTCTCCTACCAATGCTATATCCACTGCGTACACGTCAGCTCCAGCGACGACAGCCAGCGAGGTAGTATGGCCCAGTTACCGCTATTTCGCACAGTGCAGCTACCCGTCGTCCAGTCGATTCGCGGATTATACCGTCGCAGCCAGTCACGTCCCAGTAAAATGTCGTGCCCATCCAGTGTCGTCGCGAGCATTTCCTGTGTAAACCCGAAATTCCCCCCACAGCGGACTTTTACTCTTTCCACTTTCTCCCGTATGGCCAGCGGCGTGCCGTCGACTAAGCGTGCATCTATCTCCGGTAAACACCAACTAAGTGTCAGTTGCAGCTTCCGTGCGGTTGCGGTATTAACTAAGCTGTGACTTGCTCCTCCGTCTATAAAAATCTTCACTGCTGCTCCCTGTATTTTCCCATGAATCAGTACTGGGCAATCCGTCGCTGTACCCTCCTTATTCATCCGAGCCCGATCGATAGCGTGAATCGGTACTGTGACTCGGTGAGGGTCGGTGAGGTTGGGCGAGCAGGTGGTCTCGTCAGTAGTCGGCCCATTTTCTACTGACTGCTGGCGTTTCCCTGCCTCTGAGACTCCCTTCCCTGCTCTGCTCCGCGGCGTCTCTGCTCCTCTGGGCATTCGCTCTTGCGATGGCCCGGCCTATTGCAAGCAAAGCAGCGCCCCCTAAATGGCGCAGCAGCTGCATTCGCCGCAACGGCGTGTACGGTGGCGTGCTCGGTCGGTCCCCGAGGGCGATGTCCGTAGTAGGACCCCGGTCTCGGACGGCGCAAAATGTCGATTTTCTCGGCGAGCGCGAGGATCTCGTTGAAATTCGAGAGCCCGCGTAGCATGATTTCGTGCGAGATGTCCGGCTTCAGCCCTCCGACGTAACGGTCCACCCGCTCCGCTTCGTGCATGTAGCCGACTTGCTCACATAATGCGAGAAAACCGCTGGTATAGTCTTGGACCGACCCAAGTTGTCGCCAAGTACGCAGTTTCTGACGCGCCGAAATAGAAGCCGCAATCGGCTCGAAGCGCGCTCGAAGCCCTGCGCACCACGCATCCCACGTGCTGTACTGGGCGGTTTCGCAGAACGAACTCCAGGTGACGGCTGGACCCGTGGGCTCTTCCTCTTGCGACGGAGGCTCGCAGGCGCGCGGTGACGTCACAATGACTCGCCACCAGTCCATGGCGGGGCCCCTTAGCAGCGAAACAGCATATCGAATCTTCGCTGCGTCCGACTCGACGTAGTTCGCGTCGAAAAAAACGTTCATCGTGAAGACCCACGGTTGAACCGTCGGACCTCCTCGTTGGCTCGGGTCGAGGGCGCTGCGGTTTGAGCGGCATCGGCGCGATAATGTCGTTGTTGCCGATTGTTGCCGCAAATTCGACGTGACGACGGGCTTCGCGAGGCTCGCTCGTGCTTGGTACAGCCCTGTTCCTCCCCATGCCAGGCATTGACTGGGCCGCGCCATCACTGGCTGCGCCTGAGCGCTGTCCCACGCTGTCGTGATGTGACGGTGTGCCGGACGAGATGACAATCGGCTCATCCGATTGCACAGGTGCATTTGCGGGTGCTTGTGATGGTGCTGGCGCATTCACCGTTGATTGCTGGCGGGCGGAGTCACGTTCCGCCGTGAGTGTCGCGATTTCAAGCGCCGAATCTTCGAGTTGGCGCACGAGACGGTCGAGCTGCTCCTGCGTCAGTGTCGCAAGATTAATTTCGGCCATGGCGGGGGTGTCGGGCAAACTCAGCGAGAGCCTCTGTCGTGGCAGTGCGTGCTTACGAGAGAGCACTTCGAGCGGCGGTGCTTGTTCGCTGAGAGACGTCTACCTCCCCCCAAAAATTGAGATAGTGGGGAAGAAGGTGTGGGTGCGGTCCGAGAGGAGATCGTAGGCTCTGAATACCAAGTGTTACGAGTGCAATTGAGCGAGCGAGCGAGAAGTGCACTATCGAAGCAAAACAATACAATGAGCGAAGGCATGCGCGAAGAATATATAGCGAACTAGAGTGGTAACGGTAACGCGGGATAATGGGGTGCGCTACGGGCCTAGTGCCGAGGTTGGGAAATGTCAAGGCGGAGGTCCGGAGTGCGGGTTACCAACCGAACCGTGAGGTTGGGTCGCATCGTGAATGGTTGCGGGAGTCGTAGTCGAGGCGAGTGTCGCGAGCGGGTAACGTTTCACAGTTTGGGTGCCGATGGCGGGAATGGTCTTGTACGCGCTAAGCAGGGACGCGAAGCGAAGTAAGGAAAAGGAATTTTCCTTACACATAACACGCTAACACCGGATTTGGTACACTTGGTGGATATAATACGGTACATGTACATAGTTAAGCAGCACACGTCAACTTCCAGGCCCGACCCCTGGATCGAAACTTCGCCCACCGCGGCTGACCAGGGAAGCTTGAGCAATGGCTAGAGCCACACCTGGCTTGGGTGGGCCGGCCAGGACCCAGCCCGTCTCTGGCTGGCATGTCAAAAGCGTCAGCCCCGCCAGCCTCATTCCGGCCCCTGCCGAGTCCCTGCTCATGTCGGGCTTTCAGGGATGCATGTGCCAGCAGTCGTGCCTACCGTGTACCCTTCATAGCACGCACACTGCAGACCAATCTTCTCATTATCTGTGTAGCAAACACCATGGCCGCTGCAATAAGGGGTGCCCTCATAGCTCCAACAGAGGGACTCGCACTCGTATTTGCTCCTCTGTATCTGGGCGCTGCCACACAGGATGGTGCTGTTGCCGAGGCAGTTGGATCCCAGAGAGAGGCGGAACTTGTCGCACAGCAGGTGGATGTCAGCAAGAGAGGTGCCTGCAATGCCTGTGAGGAAGTTGTGGTCTGCACCGACGTGCCACAGGGACTTCATGAGGCGCAGCGACGGCACACTCCCCACCAGCTCATTATGGCTTAGATCGCTGAAAGAATGGGGGATGGGGAGGAGAGGCGCAGGGGTGACTGTGGGGTTCGATAACACCAGCTGACTGACAAGTGGTGGCTATACGAGGAAAATGGTGCGACTGGTGCAGCGAACGAAACAAGTGAGATATGGGGGGGGCGAGGCAGTGATGGCGAGGGTGCACTGACAGGAAGCCAAGACCGCTGAGTGCGCTAAGTGCAGCAGGTATTGTCCCAATGAGGCGGTTGTGAGATAGATCCCTGCAGGTGGGCAGGTGAGCAGAATAAGATTAACAAACCAAGCATGCCTTGGCGCATCATTTTCCAATCGGGAGTGTTCTAACACGGCACATGTGAAGCATGCACACGACCAAGCCTTCACAGTGGTACACAAATTGTTAGACAGATTGTTGAGTCTTTGCACTGACATGGAATGAAGATTGCTGAGTGCACTGAGTGCGTCAGGAATGGTCCTTCCAAGGCGGTTGTCAGACAGATCCCTGCAGGTGGGCAAAAGAACAGAGTGTTCATAAGAGCTCACCTAGGGTGCTTTGGACAGAACATGCTATGAGGGTTTAGGGTTTAGGGTTTAGGGTTTAGGGTTTAGGGTTTAGGGTTTAGGGTTTAGGGTCTCATAATAGAGAGCGCTCTGCGCAAATCCCTGCATCTCCGCTTCCTGCCCTCTCATCCCTCTCCCTCTTGTTGCGATTGCAATAAACCCAGAACCCTATACCCTAACCCCGCCCCTAAACCCTAACTAATCCCACGGGCAGAAAGAGGTAAGGGGAGAGTGAGCGCACATGAAAGTGAGCCGGCTGAGCCTGGCCAAGGAGGTAGGGATCTTTCCTGCCAGCCTGTTGTGCTTCACACTCCTGCCACATCTTCCTTGATTTTCGGATCGAAGGATTTGAGTTCTCGATTCTATGTTTCTTACTCCCAAACAAGGAGCAAAAGAGGTGAATGCATAACCTGGTCTCGCATCGACAGAAAGATGCAAATGCAAATGCGAATGCAAATGCAGGCTAACAGTGCTTCATAGCAGCATACCAGTGCGCCTAGCCCTTACAGTCTGCCCAGGTTGGTGAGGTGCCCGAGTAAAGAGGGAATGGGCCCCGAAAGCCGATTGAAACTGAGGTCCCTGCAATGTCACATGGCACGGAGTGGAACAGTCGGCACAATTGAATGGGTGTGGTAGTGAAGTAAACAGAGCGTGAAATAGTGTTGTCCAGTGCACATGTCGGTGGAGTGGAGGGGCAGGAGCATTGTGAAACACAGAGGGTGGGCCGATGAGCACAAGGGTGATAACAACACACGTAAAGTGCCCTTGGCATGCCACGTTGTCCCAGCCCCCAGTTGTTGGTGCTCTTCGGGTGACATGGCATGGGATGGGAGATATGCTCTTGAAATCAAGCGCTCAAGGGTTCCTGGCCCGAGTCCCATGTTGAGCGAACATGGAAGGTGGTTGCAGGTGAAAATGGTTGCAGTAGGGAAAAGATGGCCTCTCAGCCGTCCGCGCTATTAAGCCACGACACAACCCAGTTCAACGACAAACAAGACAGGACAGGAGCTGATCCCTTGAAATGCCGAGTGGACTTCTGAGTCGTGGAGAAAGGAAAGGGCTGAGCCTGGCTGGCTTGGCGGGAGGCAAGGGTGTGCGTGCGCACACAGGAGCGGAGACAACGAGCGGTCTGCCAGCTCAACCATCTGCTCGCGCCCACCCATTCCCACTCCCACTTGACGAGCAACGCCCGTGGGCACCGGCTTGCATGCCGACACAGCCCCTCACTCCTGGTTGTGGTAACTAGTGAAACACATGACTCTGTCCAAGCCCCTTGTACCTTGTCTCCACCTCCTACCCTCGGACCCCTCACAGTTCTCGACGTAATTTCCATGAGACACTTGGGGAGAGAGTGGGTGTACAGAGAAGAGAGACGGCTGAGTCGCGAAAAGGAGGCAGGGATGCTGAAACTCAGTTGGTTGCTCTGCAAGTCCCTGCAGTCAGATGGCATGGAATGGCATGACATGACACGCGATGGAGTGCGGTAGTTTCATTAATGGTTACACTCTGCACGGAACAAAATCCGATTATGCAGTGGCCTTCTCAGTCAGGTGCAGCGCATGACATAGCATTGCTTCTGCACGCCAGTCGGTGCTCCGAATGTGTGAGTAAGCTACAAAATCACATTCTCCGAGACAAGGGATGTTTCCATGGCACTGCCGGGGAACAAAGGTAAGTGACGAGCGACTTTTCGTGGCATTGGAACCGAACAACAGCTGCACCAGCGAGCTACCCCACCCTCCTACCATTTTGAGTGCCACCCTTCCTTACAAGCTTTCCAGGTTAGTTAGGCTCCCGAATGATCTGGGGACGGTCCCAACGAGCTGATTCCGACCAAGACTCCTGCAATAGCACATGGTGGTTTGGCACAGAGTGATGCATCATTGGCCAGTGGGGAGAGAGCATTGTGATGCATGGTGGTGTGGAGGATGTGAGAGAGAGCAGGAGAGCGAATACAAGTCTGCAGCACGAGTGAGAAACAGCATGGGATATGGAAAGGAGCAGCGGATTCAGAAAATGAGGGCAGAGAGAAGCGGGAGCAGGAGGTGAAGAAGGATCGGGTGCATGTGTGGATGAAGCTCAGAGGGCGAGCGGGAGGGGAGGAGGGAGGAAGAGATGCTCTTTCAAGGCACCTGGCCGATGGCAACGCAGAGGCACCAGTGGGACAGGTGATGGAGGCACATGATATTGCATTGCATGCACTTACACACTACTATGCCTCCACCATGCTCCGAGAGAGCATGCATGGCCCACATGCCTCGAGGCACACTCACAGGTGGGCGAGGTTGCTGAGGTTGCCGATGGCTGTTGGGATGGTGCTGTTGATGTAGCTGCGGTGAAAGATCCTGATGCATGGTGCATGGTGCATGCATGGTGCATGGTGCATGCATGGTGCATGCATGGTGCATGCATGGTGCATGCATGGTGCATGGTGCATGGTGCACAGGCATGGCATGCAGAGACGTGCAGACACGGCAGTGGTGGGGATGATGTGCAGGTGTTGTCAGATGAGTGCAAGAAGCCCGTGATACAAGGCACGCTCAATGAGGGCTAACACAAGTCACGGTATGGCACATGATGCATGGTGCATGGTGCATAGCACGTCGTGTATGGTGCATGCACGGTGCTTGGTGCACGATAACTGAGCACTAAGGCATGGCATGGCAGGGCACACGTTACAGGGCAGCACGCACAGGGCTGTCAAGCTGGTCATGCTGCCTATCCACTCTGGCAGCTGCCCGTCCCACCACGACCACGACATGTGCCTGGCAGCCCGTTGTGCAGCGGCAGCAGCATGGACCGAGGGGAGGCGCAAGAGAGGGAGTGGGGCTCGTTACTATGGGAAACGCTGCAGCCACCCAGACCGATCGCCACTTGAAACCAGTGGCACCCAGAACCTAAGTTGGAAAAGACGCTGGAGGAGGCGTGCGTCCTGCGTCTGGACGCAGTGTCCAGACGCAGGGACGCAGGACGCGCGTCCAGACGCAGGACGCACGGCGGTTTTTTTTTGGGCTGACCGAAAAACAAAATTCCCCCGGATCGCGAAATTGACATTCGCGATTTCGACGCGAATGTCAATTTCGCGAAATTCGACCCCCCCAAACCCGATTCGACCTAGAAAAACAGCCACCGCACCCCCTTTCTAACCCCTCCACACCTATAACATTTTTTTGGCTGCCCGTGGGTTTCTTTTTCCCTGCCCGGGCCTGCGTCTTTTGGTGCGTCTCCCAGGCCCACATCCTGCGTCGTGCGTCTAAGACGCTGCGTCTGGACGCACCCGTCTTAGACGCAGGACGCGTCTTTTCCAACTAAGCCCAGAGCGCCATACCCACTGTCTCTTGCATAATGCATTCAGCGATTAGATGAGATAGAAACAACCACGTAACAATCACACAAGCACGGCACAGGCATATGAAATCACGGAGGGGGAGTGTGGAGTGTGCATGCGCTCACCACTCGGTGAGCTTCTTCAGCCGTGACAACTCCGACGGTAGGGAGCCAGTCATGCGCGTGTAGTCCAGCATCCTGCATGCACAGCACACCCCGTGGGGCCCAGATTGCCTTAGAGCGTGTAGAGTGCTAGTGTCATGGAGATGTTCCATACAGGGGTTCAGGCGTGTGAATGCCAGCAACAGGAGACTCGAGGCAAGAAGAAACCAAAGTGGGCGATAGACCAGGTGGGCTAAAGTTGTAGCCGGGTAGGCGAGGGGAGGTTGATAAGAGAATGAGGAAAGAAGTCTGAAGGGGGTCATGGAAGAAGTGGCACGTGGGATGACACACCAAGTACTGGGTGTGATGGATGTGCATGGCTGTCAACCATCCTTGCTCCGCCTGCCTCGCCATCACTCATTTTCTCACGGTGCAATTTCAACTCACAGCATTTCAAGGTTGCTGATGCCGCCTAGAAACGCAGGAATACCCTGCTTCCACTGATTTGCCCCCAATGATCTGGTGCACACACATGACATGGCATGGCGCACAGGGAAAGGGCGGGAGTGGGAAGGGTGGCCATGGAATCAGAAAGATTGAGGTTGGTAAGAGGCAAGGACGATTGCGAGAGGAAACAGCGGTGCATGGCGGTGAAGTTTCCAACAAAATCAACTTGTGCGAAAGTGCCAACAGGTGAATTTCCTTGGAGAGTGTTAAAGAGTAGGGGGAGCAGATGAGTGAGGGCAGGGCACGCACAGGTGCTTGAGGGCAGTGATGGCGGTGAGGGTAGAGGGGAGTGCTTCGAGGTAATTCATGTACACGTTTCTGCAGGGACGTGCACACACCGCAAGGGAGGGAAGGCGGCATGCGAGGGAGAGGGGATGGATGGGTTTCGCATGACTCATGAGAGAACCTGGTGCCCACATCAGTGCAGGCGGTGGAAAGGCGCATGGCGATGCAAGCACAGGTGCCATGGCGATGCAAGCACAGGTGCCATGGCGATGCAAGCACAGGTGCCATGGCGATGCAAGCACAGGTGCCCGCCCGCCCACCCACCCATCCCACCCAACCACCCAGCGACCCCACCCAGGCGCACAATGGGGTGATCCAGGCGTGGGAGTGCGGGGCACTCACAGAGCAGTGAGGTCCTTGAGGGTGCCCAGTGCGGCCGGCACGCTCCCTGACAGCACGTTGTAGCTCAGATCGCTGGTGCACCCACAAAGGGTTGGGAACGAAGGGTGGGTGGAGATATGGGTGCAAGGCATGGCATGCATGCACACGACATGGGCCATTGTGGTAGGCAAGGTGCACACATGGGCGCACGAGGGACAATGTCATATGGGAGGAGTTGAAAGTGAGTGAGCGCGCAACATCAAGAAGTGACAAGCGTGGCGGTGAGTGACTGCTTGCAGACACACGATGCAGGCAGCAGGACCAAGGCAGCGAGCTCCTCCAAACAGACTCAGGGGGTGGGGAAGGAGGGGGACGCAGAAGAGAGAAGGGCAGGGAGAGAACGGGGTGCGGGGAGAGGGGGACACGGAGAGGACAAAGCGGTAGGAAGAAAGAGAGGGGGGAAGAGCGCTCACAGGTGCCTGAGCGAGGTGATTCGGGAAATGGCATCTGGAATGGCGTCGCTGAACCTGTTGACACTCAGGTTGCTGCTCACAGGCACATGGATTGGGGGATGCACGGTGCAGTGCAGGTGTGCGACACATGAGAGCTTTGTGTGAGTGACAATGAATCAAGCACACACTTGTGATGTGCTGAATGAATTACGCTCCATGGCAAGCATGGCATGGCATGGTATGGCATGGCATGGCATGGCATGGCATGGCATGGCATGGCATGGCATGGCATGGCATGTCATGGTGTGTGAGTGGGAGAGCAAGGGAAGAGTGTAAATTGACGAGGAAATGGCTCGAGCAAGGATGGTCGGGGTGAGATGGATGGCAGGGAGGAAGTGCGAGGGAGGGAGGGCGAAGAGGCTGGGTGACTGACTGGGGCTAATGCACGGCCAAGGTGCAAAAAAACGACCGAAAGATTGAAATTCTGGCGTATAAAACGCTATCGTATTTTTCGGCCGTTTAAAACGTTTTAAAACGCCAAAAAGTGGTAGTTTTAATGTGGTGCAAAAAAACGGCCGTTTTTTACAGCAGAAACCTTGAAACCAGTTGGTTTACACATATTTTCATTCAAGTATTGGTTCCAACCATGACCCTCGATCGGATGAACCAGCCATGAGGAAGACAAAGGGGATTTATCAGTGGGACTGTAGTAGAACGGTGACTCAGGGGAGGAGAGGATGAAGAGTCTGGGGGGGAGGAGGAGGGTTGAACGAGCGCAACCTAGACACTTTGTTACCATTGTATTGCTTTTTTGCTATCCTGGTCAGGAGCGGAGTCGTGTCTACTGTAAAAAAAAAAAAAAAAAAAAAAATGTCACAAAATCTCTAACAAAAAAACGGCCGAATTTTTTAAATCTGACCGTAAAATACGAGCGTAAAAAACGGACCGTATTTTACTTTTGCCGAAATTTTGCACCTTGTGCACGGCAAAGGGGGTGCGCGGGGGCAGGGCGCACGTGGTGACTCACATGGTTTCCAGCGCACTTGAATTGGTCTGGTTGAAGTACCACCACAATGGCCCATGCAGGAAGCACGCTGACAGGTTTCTGCTCACATGCACCACACATTCACGCACACATGCATGCACACATGCATGCACACATCCCAGCACCCCAGCCTTGGCGAAACTCCATGGCAGCATTCCATGGCAGTCATATCCATGCAGGTGCGTCCATGGCCACCGCTCCACGCACATGAAGCAAGCACAAGGGTGTGTGACGGCGTGAGGGGACAGCGGCTGCTGGAGAATGCAGCATGCATGGCGAGCAGGGCGGCATGGCGAGCAGGGGGCAAGGGATGGCTCACAGGTGCTTGAGGGAGGGCATGGAGAGGATGGGGGGGGGAAAGCTGCCGTCCAACTGGCTGTGTGTGATGCTCCTGCACATGCGCGGGGGTGGCGTGCAGTAGGGGAGAGGAGGCGCGTGGAGGGAGCATTGGAAAGTGCCGAAATGAGGAACATGGAGAGGTGAAGGAACGAGCGTGTGGTGCGTGCATGGATGGATGGATGGATGTGAGAGTAACGGACTAAACTGGTCTTTAACGCTAGACAACACTGAATGCTAACCGCTTCGCACAGCAGCACCACATTCCCATCCAGCAATGCATGGCATATCACACCCCGCCGTACCATTCCCATGCGAGGCACGCAAAGCGCAGGGCAGTGGCACTCACAGTGAGGTCATGTGATGGAGCTGCACAATGCGCTCGGGAATGGTGCTCACGCCCTGCACGTCACTGCCAGCCAGGGGCACGCACGGGATGGGAGCAACAGGCGAGGGAGAGGTTGGCAGTGGGGGAGTGAGTGCATGCGAGGTGTGGGTGTGTTAGGCAGCGCGGAGCAGGGATGTACCCAGAACAGCATATCCGCGCTCTGCTGCTGCGCCGTGCGTGCGCTACTCGTTGACATGGCAAGCCCGCGGCAGATGCCATGGCGGCAGATGCCATGGCGGCAGATGCCATGGCGGCAGATGCCATGGCGGCAGATGGCGTGCAGGCGTGCATGCATGGAGTGGTGCTGTGCTCACATGGCAACGGCGTGCCCCTGTGCGTCGCAGCGCAGGCCTGGCATGGCGTCGCAGTCCCTGCCGCGGATCCACGTCTTGCACGCCGCGGTCCTGTTCCACGCCACCGCCAGCTCCGCCACCACTCCCACTGCCATCCACCATGCCATCCACCATGCCCTCGCATGCCCGTTACCACACCGTGCCATGCGATGCCGTACCATGCCATGCCATGCCGTACCATGCCATGCCATGCCGTACCATGCCACATATTCCGCCGTCGTGTGAGGAACAATCAGTGAGAGAAATTACGTTGGAGGCAAGTTGCAATGGGACAGGTGCACGGAATAGCATGGACGGGCCAACGAAGCACGGCCGTCGACATCACACCAGCAATGACACAGGTGCATGCTCCCCGCGCCCTGCTGCCACCACGGCTTACTGTCGGGGTCCATCACGGGCACAGCCCGTGCGAGGGGCGCGCAGCAGCCAGCCACCACCACCAGCGCCACCACCGCCGCCCTCGCCGCCACGACGCCCCTCCCGATCGCCCGTAAGCGCGTCGCGTGCGCCGTGCGCGACGCGACGCGCGTGTGCGAGCCGAGGCGGGCGGAGCGAATTGGCGGCGCGTGCGCATGCCGTGCACGGCGGGAGACCGCCGCGCTGCGCGGCCTCCCCCAACGAGACGTTATTACCATCTACTCGGTTCGTGGAAGTTCGAGGCCCTACGAGATTGAAAACTGGTGCTTCCAAGCGAGCGCGTGACCGCGACAGCACACACACGAGAAGCTCGGTGTGAGTCGATTCGCAAACATGCAACGAAAGGATACCTCGCCTCGTCGTTCCTACTTGTACACCCATCGTGACTTGCGCCTGGCAGCTCTCCATGGGGTGGCTGTCTAGGGGGACGAGTCACGAGAACTCGCTTGGCTGGGAATGGAAAGGTCATTCGCCGTGCCTCGCTGGCTAGTTGTTGGGATTGCCTGCCAGCGAAGCGATACAGCATGAGCTCACGGCGGCCTGCTATGACCAGGTATTCTCTCCCTCCACATAACCTAGATTTCTGGTACCATATGGACCTGGTTTGACTTGCTGGTTGGTGAGAGCTGTAACAAATCAACCCCCTACGCACAAGTAGGGAATTCTCGCCAGCCAACCACAACGGAACAGCAGTGCACGGCTAACGAAACGATGTCTCGCTGTTGCAATTGCAACTGCTCCCCAACTTCTTTTTCCTGAGCTCTCCATGTGGCAAGGACCTATAATTCTGTATTATTGTTACGATTGCAATTGAGTGAGCGAGCGAAGATTGCACTATCAAAGCAAAACAATACAGTGAGCCAAGGAATAAGCGAATGTTAAATAGCGAACTAGATGTCGTAATGGTAGCGAGTGAATTGTAGGGTGCGCGACGGGCCTCGCGCCGAGGCCCGAGGCTGGGAATTGTCGAGGCGGAGGACCGAAGCGCAGGTTACCCGCCGAGCCGTGGGGGTTGGGTGCGGTGTAAATAGTGGCGGGAACAGTAGTCAGGGCGCGTGTCGCGTGTGGTAACGGCGAACTGTTGAGGTACTGTTGGCGGGAACAGTCAGGTACGCGGTAAGCAGGGACGCGAAGTAATGAAAATGAATTTCCCTTACATTTATAATAGAGCTTTCTATGTATGGAATACATCATGCATAAGAACATACTTAATAATACGCTGAGGGGTGTTCTTTCCTGTTGGGCTGAGAAGAACATTTAGGGTATGTTTAGATGCTATACTGAGAAAAATGTACTACAGCAAAATTCTTGAATTCCTGAGCTTATAATGTGATAAAATTAATTAATTAATATATTTCAAGAAATATGTAGTCCCAAAAATGTGCGTATTCAATGATGTACCCATTCACTCAAATGAGCTTATACCGAGTCGTCACTTCAAGAAGTACTTCCACGCAAATAGTCACGGGACTATTCACGCTTCTAACAGTTATGGTACATTCCGGCCTGGACATGTCACAAAACTAAGCGTCACAAACAACATTCGTGACTAGTTCGTGTTACGATATGAAACTTTATGAGAAGGCATTCCTGTATGCTGCAGGAGCCGACTCTACCGAGTACGAAGTCGAGGAGTCAGAAGAGTCGAAGCGACGCAGCAACCGTCTGACCAAGACCGATGCTGGCAGAAACATTTGAAGTGAAATGAGCGGGAACAGGTTTGAAACGGGTTCCCGCGCCACACGGTTTGAATTCGGTTGTAATAAAGGAATGTACCCCTTAGAGTACATGGCTAGTCTAGGTCTTTTCGTATTCCCCTGTACTCTTATATAAACTCGATGTATGCATGCTATTATCAACTCAGTCATTTACATTCACTCTGACCTGAGATTCAAACTTCCGCTGCAACACTACTCTGCGATCAACCCTGAGCGATCCTTCGCTAAGTCCTTTTTAGGATTGTAACATGGTATGAGTGTCAGAACATTATAGCTTATGCTGTTGTGTAGGCTATAGTGGGGTATCCCATAGGGGGTGCAACCAATTAGGGTTTCATATTTGTACTCACTTCATTTCATAGTCCACTCATTCTCTCGTTCTCATTGTTACATGGAATCAGAGCAGGTCCCCTCCTAGGGACTGTTCCTAGGGCCCACCGAAGCGCGCCTCGAGTCGCGCTCTCCCCTTTTTTTTTTTCCCTAGCGGCCCCGCCGCCCTACCTAGCGGCCCCGCCGCTCTACCTAGCGGCCCCGCCGCCCTACCTCGCGGCCTCGCCGCCCCATTGCGCGGCCCCGCCGCCCTACCTAGCGGCCCCGCCGCCCTTACTCGCGGCCCCGCCCCCCCCCATCGCGCGGCCCCGCCGCCCCATCGCGGCCCCGCCGCCCCATCGCGCGGCCCCGCCGCCCTACCTAGCGGCCCCGCCGCCCTTCCTCGCGGCCCCGCCGCCCCATCGCGCGGCCCCGCCGCCCTACCTAGCGGCCCCGCCGCCCTTCCTCGCGGCCCCGCCGCCCCATCGCGCGGCCCCGCCACTCTACCACGCGGCCCCGCTGCCCTATCTCGCGGCCCCGCCGCCCTACCCAGCGGCCCCGCCGCCCTTCTGCAGCGGCCCCGCCGCTCCTCTGCAGCGGCCCCGCCGCCCTACCCAGCGGCCCCGCCGTCCTTCTGCAGCGGCCCCGCCGCTTCTCTGCAGCGGCCCCGCCGCCCTATCAAGCGGCCCCGCCGCCCTTTCTGCAGCGGCCCCGCCACTCCTCTACAGCGGCCGAGCCGCCCAGCAGCAGCGCAGCCGAGCCGCCCAGCAGCAGAGCAGCCGAGCCGCCCCGCCGCCGAGCCGCGCTGCAGCCGAGCCGCCCGGCCGCCCACCAGCCGAGCCGCCGTGCAGCCGACCGCCCAGCCGCCGAGCCGCCCAGCCGCCGAGCCGCCGAGCCGCCGAGCCGCCGAGCCGCCCAGCTGTCGAGCCGCCCTGCAGCCGAGCCGCCCGAGCAGCCCTGTCCGGTGAGCACAGACCCTCTGTCACTGCGTGCTCTTCCCCTACTGCCTGCACTGCTGGTCTACTGCTGTCATGGCCACCCCTAGTGTCCTCACTTTTGACGCTGAGGGTCGGGCCATTGACTTTGAGGTCTGGGTAGATGACCTACAGCTGTTCTTACAGTGCGATAGGGCGGACGGCCTCTCTCTCTTTGACCTCACCTCTGGCGCTTCCCCTGCCCCTGCTGCTGATGCTGACGCCACTGTTCGCTCCCAGTGGGCCACGCGCGATGCTGCTGCACGTCTTGCTGTGCGTCGCCACCTCCCTACCTCCGAGCGTGCGCACTTTAGTCAGTACAAGAGTGCTCAGACCTTGTACGCCGCTGTAGTCGCGCGCTACTCCTCCCCTTCCACTGCTGCACTGAGCCGTCTCATGCTGCCGTACCTCTTCCCTGACCTTGCTTCTTTTCCCACCGTTGCTGACCTCATTACGCACCTCCGCACTAGTGACACTCGCTACCGCGCTGCACTTCCTGCTGACTTCTGGACCGCGAACCCCCCCCCCATGTATATCACTCTGTACTTCCTAGTCACTCGCCTCCCTGACTCCCTTCGAGTAGTCAGGGACCACTTTCTCTCAGTCTGTCCCACCACACTCACTGTAGACCTCCTCGAGAAGGCCCTCCTCGCGATAGAAAAGAGCATAGTCGCTGTAGGAGCCTCTCGAGGTGACCCGCGCACCCCCATCTTTGAGGGGTGTTCTCCCTCCCCCCTGCTGCCCTCTGTAGCCTCTGCTGCTTCGGCCGACCTCCTTGGTCTTGAGTCGGTCGGTGCGGCGTCTGCCCCTAGCGGGAGACGCCGCTCTGGCAAGGGCAAGGGGGGCAAGGGAGCTGGAGGAGCGGGCGGTGGAGGTGGAGGTGGAGGCAGTGGGGGGAGTGGGGGTAGCGGTGGAGGTGGAGGTGGGGGTGGGGGGTTCGGTGGCGGCAGTGGAGGCGGAGGCCGCGACGGCGGTGGCGGTGGTAGCGGAGGTGGCGGAGGAGGCGGCGGTGGAGGAGGCGGTGGAGGCGGCGGCGGCAGTGGAGGCAGCGGAGGCGGTGGAGGCGGTGGGGGTGGCGGTGGAGCTGGTCGCGGGTCTTTGCAGAGGAGTGGCTCCGGTGGTGGCTCGCGCCAGCAGCAGCAGCGTGGTCGTGCGACCCTGTCCCCTCAGCAGCTCCGTGAGTGGTAAACTGCATGCCAGCGGGGTGGGGGTTTTGGTCCGTGTACCTACGTCCTGCGCACCGGCGACCGTGCGGGTGAGCAGTGTGGGGGTGCGCACCCCACTCCGCGCTGCTTTGGCCGCCTGACGGACGCATGGCGTCACCAGTTCCCGGAGGCCTCCGAGATCCCTCGCTGGGACGAGCTGTCTAGGGCGGGGGTTGCCATCTTTGATCTGGACTTTGATGCTATTCTCTCTGCCATGTATGCTGTGTCTATTAGTGATGAGGGTGACTGTTACCGGTGTTTCCAGCCCGATCCGGGCATTGAGACTGCTGCTCTAGGTACTGGTGAGGCTGCTGCCCTAGGTGCTTACGACGCTGCTGCTCTAGGTGCTGGTGTGTCTGCGTCCTCAGGTACTGGTGAGTCT